GATTCACCGTTCGATCGAGAAGATTCAAAGAGGTGGTAGAGATCTTTAATTTGTGAAAATGCAGCACGTAAAGTTAAATTTGTATGTTTACATCAAAATATAAAAATATTGAGTGTGTTAAAACTTCTAAAAGAGATAGTAACTTCGTCAACAGAATAAATATTTAAAATGCAAATAGCAAAAATGCAATATAATATTCTTATTCGTCAGAAAAACGTGCAAGTTCAGTATATTTTATTTTTGGAAAAAATACACTCATTTTATTTTCCACTGAGTCCCTCATTTACTTTTATTAGCACTGATCGATTCAAGTTCAATCGATTGAAAACCTACGAAGTGTATGACGGAATAAATTTGTTGTATATGGTTAACGAGGAGAAAAAGTAAAATTGCTCCAGTTCTCCTGACTCTACTATTGCTTAGACCTGACTCTAAAATTGCTCTGTTTCTCCGCGATACTACTTCTCCATAATTTCATAATTTAACTTAAATTGGTTCAATCTAACTTTTAACTGCTATCACTGGGCCATTGGGAACCATAACAATTTAGAATCAAGTTAACTTAGTTTTAGAATTTTTAACTTAATTTATTGCCAACGTAAGACACAGAGATAAAATCAGTAATCTCACATAAATTGCTATAATAATCTATATTATTCGAATCCTTTGAATGAATACTAAAGTATCATAAATTCGATAACTGAAGCAATTAGTTTCACTCGTCGAAGATTTAAAGAGTATAACATATTCTAATATAACGAGTAATTTGTAGTCTACTCCAAATTCAAAATTAAACTTTCAAACGTTCTCTGAAATTTCAATGGATTAATTTGAATAGAATATCCCTCGAGTCGTTTTCGATTCAAGAGACAGAGAAACTTACAATCAACTCCTGTATGTCCCATGTCAATATCAATCGTTCGCGAGATAAAGATAGAAATAAGAGACAGTTGCGATCGACAAAAACTTTCTCGCGAATAGGTCCCTCGCGAATAAAATGCAATCGACTCTCCTGGACAAGCGTATTGTTCCGAGGCAACATTCAGCCCAGAAAACAATTCGATCCCGTTCTCCGCCGCCCACTTTTTTTCCACGATTTCCTGCGTTACTAAATAACCGGCAGCGTGACTATTCGCATCGAATCGATGAGTCCGATCGATTGAATTTCGACAAATGTCCATTATACATCGGCAACACTATTTTCACGAGAACGGCGTACCGAGGCAACGCGAGAAGCGACAGGAACGCAACAATGCTACCTGAAATCGCGTGTCCGTGGCAAGCTCGCAATTTAGAATCATCAGATTTATTGCGAACCGCAATTCCACCGTTTCTACCGGTAGTTTTCAATACTATTACGAACAGAATCAGATAAACGGAAAGTTTTTGAAAAGAGTCTGAACAATTCTCTTATTCTTCTTTTATCAATTATTCTTTCATCAGTTTTTATTTTTTTTTATTTTTGTGTAATATATCCGGAATGTCTCTATGTGACACAAAATGAAATTGAAAAGGAATATTCCACTCGAACGATCTTATAAATCGTATATTACTATAACTGTGAATTCTTACATAAATTTATATTTTTGTGAATGAAAACCTAAATAAAGATCTAATAAAAATTTAACAAGCTCCATTTTTAAATAAAATTCAACAAACATTATTCAACAGCACTTTGTCAAAACAATTCTGAATGATTTTATACGCTTGTGAAATCCTACAACAATCTATTACTTGACTCTAATTGATTAATACATATGCAATCCTATGCAAGTATTTTTCATATTCATCACGTACCATAGAATATTCAATGAGACAAAGATTTCCAGCCCAAAAAAAAAAAAAAAAAAAAAAAAAGAAAAGTGGAGTATGCCATACGACAAATTAAATCTAGTACCAGACCAATTACGTATATTCATTATTGGACATAATTCGGACAGGTAATCCTTTAATTATTTTGAGCGGTGTGCAGCAACTGTAATTACATTACAGTTTACCACCAATTATCGTCGCATTGTTCCACAGGCTCCGTATTACCGGACCTACTACATCGTTTACAATTAACCGGCTCGTTGTCCAATCGGTATAAAACGATAAACGCGACGCCGCATCAAGCGTGATCTCCGTAACTCCGTCACGCTACGTAAACGCGAATTTTATTACAACAAGATTCGTCAATAAAAAAAAGAGAGAGAGAGAAAAGAAAGAGAAAAAAGAAGAACAGCCGTGTGCCACTCTTGCTTCATTAGCCAATCGCGCACAATAAGAAATAGCAAAGCGGAGTCAGTAGCCAGGTGACTCATGCTGCGTACCGAGCACGCGAGACCCGATTGCTTTTAAATAGCGATGCATATTATATGCGAGGAAGGTCCACGCGCGCCGACCGATAAATTATAGCCCTCCATACGCTCGCATGCTAAACGCAAGTGAACATTTGCAAATTGCAAAGGTGGAACTTTTTCTCCTTTTCTCTCTTCTCCTATTTTGTTTTCTCTCTCTCTCTCTCTCTCTCTCTCTCTTTTACTCTGCTCTATTCTAGAGTGTTCCGACGTAGAGTTTGCGTGAAACTTTCTTCGCGAATAATTCATTGCGGGTCGGAAGCTTATCTAGTCACTTATCGAGAACGGGGGAAATTTTTTTAAAAAATCCTAAAGAACGAACACAGGCTTCGTCGAGTGGAGGTGAAATATATATACGTGTATATATAGTATATATACACATACCTGACACGTTTGTTTATTTTACATTCGTGACACAAGAGGCACTCTTCATGAAGTCGCGTCCAAGAACGAACGATAATCACTTAACGGAGCAAATGTCAATGAATTAACGCGGTGTTACCGCTGCATAATAGCAGAAACACTCGTAACATTCGATATGTTCGATTCAAACGATATTTAAACTCATATGAAAATACGTAATTAACACTACGCTCATTGTTGTTTTAGAAAGGAGTGATGAATCACTATCGTGAGGTGACTAACGTCCAATTCCCCGAGTCGCGTCGATTCTCGTGAACATCGGCTGACCGTACATCTATGTATATAGCGCGTAGCAACACTGCCCCTTTCAAAATCCCTGGCTAATTTCTAAAGTAATATCGGTCGCACCCTCGAAAAATCACGCACGTCGTGCCGTGTCGCGTCGTGTCGTCTCGTGTCGTGTCGTGTCGTGTCGTGTCGTGTCGTGTCGTGTCGTGTCGTGTCGTGTCGTGTCGTGTCGTGTCGTGTCACCTTGAGACACAGAAGAAGGACCGACCAGTGGCGTGGAGTCGACTCCACTTGAGAAGCGCGCGGACTTGAACGTGCCGCATAGAAGAAGAGACGCATAAAAGAAACGGTTCGGAACTGGTTCGGCGGCCAAGTTGAGCGTTCTCAGGCGCGCACCACGTACACCACGAACAATACGATTTTCTAGGAGAAAACGGTGCAGAAGAAGCGATGGAGAGGAGGCAGTGTTGCAGGAGAAGGAGACGGAGGAAGAGGAAGAGGAGGCGGCGAAGGAGGAGGAGGAGGAGGAGAAGGAGGAGGAGGGGGGGAGGAGGAGGCGAAGAAGAAGAGAGGAGCAGGCATGGAGGGTCGCGGAGCACGTGAAAGGCGATTTAAAGGGAAAAAGAAGGAGGTGGCCTTTAAAAAAAAAAAAAAACGAAGGAACATGGCGAACCGGTCGCAGCCTCCATTCGTCAGCTGGGAGCTCAGCTGCAGCCGGGCGCGGTGACCTCGACGGAGCTTCACGGAAAACCAAGTCAATTTGCAAGCAATAACGGTGTCGTGACTCGCGTCCTTTTCATCGGTGATTTAACGAACTTTCCGAGATGCACGCGTATTACTGTTACACACGTTCGTGTCTCTTCACTTTCTCCTTTTTCTTCTTTTTTTTTTTTTTTTTGGTTTCGATTTTTCCTCCCTTAATTTTGTTATTTTTGAATGGCGCGCGCGCACGCAAATACACACGTTGATGACAGACCGTCGAATTTCCTTCGATCGTCGAGAGATCCGGCGACGTTCCATGAAAACGCGGTCATCGCTTTACAGGTGATCGAAAGTACCCCACCGATCGACTGACAGTTCAACGACATTCGTCTTTACCACTGTACGAGAAAACTACGTTTCCCCTTTACGAAAGCTTCGTGTAAACGCTCCCTACCGATAACAATCGCACCTTAAAATCCTCGAGATCTCGAGTTCAACGAATCGCGCGATTATCCGAGTTCCTCGAAATGACCCGCGTCATTCGATTAATTAGAAGTACGTGTACCCAATGCTTTCATATATCGCCACTGATTATTCGCACTTGAAAGAAATGTGTTGAAATATGACGCACGATTTCACATTTAACGTCGGAATGTAAGATGTCCATTAAAGATTTTCAGCTCATCGAATTATACATCGAGCCTCGAAATCGGCTGATACGTCTGTTTACCAAACCTTTCATTCATCACTCCCCCTTTTCTTATGCACTCAAAAAAAAAATAAAAAGAAAGATGTACAGAAACGTAATGTACATGTTCCACCTATAACGTCGAACTGGCAAGATTTTCGTCGCCAAATTGTGTACACGATCGACTAACGTGACAACCAAAATTTTCGATCTACCAATGACACACGTATTAAAGCTCTGATCGACGAAACGATCGAAAAAAATAAAAGGCTCTCGCGGACTGTTACAATTAAAGGTAAAAAGAGGTTACAGAGATTGGGATTCGGAGCACCTCTCGATGTCCCAAGGAAATTACACGTATTTAAACGAACAGAGACGAACACCTGCAGAGTAGTCACGACAGCAAGACGTAATTCATACGTGAAACGGCGGCGAAAGAAAGAGATTATAGTTTTTAAAAGAGAGACGATAAACCGGTCGGTGCGTCCGTTCATCAGCTGAGAGCTCAGCTGAACCCAGCGGCCGCTGTAACCTCAACCTTTCTAATAGGCCGTATCGTACGAGGAACGATTAACTCTCGGTGTCCGCAAGTCCTTTAGATACAGATTAAGTTTAAATACCTGACATTCGAGTTTCATCAACGGGCGAACGACGAAACGCACGGGAACACAGAACTTTCGGGGATAAAACTTTTTGAAAGCCCACTCACAATGGAATCTTCCAGTAGACTAGCCGAGCCGGCAAGCCGTTCTCTTTTGCGTGCACACCCACCGTTTCGCGCACTATCCCGCGTTTTACACCGTTAGTCCTTCTTTCGTGGACTGTCCCAACTTTTTAAACAGCGGAAGGCTCGACGATGAGGTTCAGCCCTCGTTTCGATCCGTCACAAAGTGCTTATTTGCAGCAGAAACGCGGCGGTATGCATACCGCTGACAGTTCCGAGCTGTCACTTTTTGACGACCGCGCGCCTCTCGCCATCTGGTGGCGTTGCCATCAAGCATCGCTTTATTTGAAAGAACCGCGCTCAGATCACCTAGCAACAAGATCAATAGGCTAAGTTACAGCAAGTCGAGCAGTAACCGATGCATCTATAGCGATTCCATCAATTATTTAACTCAACCAAAGGTAAATCAGTGAGCGTAAAACTTCATTTTTTCCCTCTTCTTTCTTCTTTTTTTCGTATCAAACATTGTCATGTTTGGCTTTGGATTTTGACTGAAATTCTTGCTGTTGAAAGAAACTAGTTGTAAACAATCGTAATAATTAGTAATTAAATATTATTATCTGTATTAGTAATTACAATTGCACGTCGATTGAAGAAAGATTCAATTGTAAAGTACTTGTAATTGTAATCGATCGTTGATTTAACATGGACTTCCGGTATTGCTTCGGATCTTACGACGGACTTCCGGACCTTTCAGGACATAGACTTTCGAATATCTTTGAAGTTTAAACGTCATAATGATATAAAATCACTGGACAGGTACTTGATTTTCATTTGGAGTTTTATTATAACAATCTCGTTCCACTAGTACAAAAAACCGGACGTCCCCACGATCATTTATAAGATATAACAATATATTATACAAACATTTGCGTTTTCGAATGCTTACACCATATTTTTCTTACTTTGTACTTACTTTCCTACCTCTTTGTTCCAGTGTCTTTGTTTAGTGGTATCCATATCACAATTGTTTCTTGCTTTTATGTGCAAATACAGACAGCTGCTCACAATACTCAAAGTATATTCACTCTCACATCAATCGTGACTGTATCATTTCTTTCTTTTTTTTTTTTCATGGTACACAATTACACTCACACATACTACACCTCATCGTCATGTACTAAGTGGTTCATTTTCAGACTACGTTGTATGTATTTTCAAAACAGCTTGAGATAATACTTCCTATAAAAGTTATTGAACTCTGAAACTTTCGTCAAAAGGTTTAATGTCGACCAGTGCGACATATTTTCATTTCCTAAATTGCGAGAAATATCTCCAACAGGTAAGATCGAATTAATTTCTTTTACCTTACGTAACCACGATAAAAAGAAACAAATAACAACACGAATGCTTGAAACAATATAAGAAAGATAAACTCTACAATATATTCAAACATAAGCTTTCAGGAAGATACATAGCTCCCAAAAACGCTGTAGAATGTAGCATTCTAAGCGAGATACACAGCATTTGAAGACGTGATAAAATGACGTTACATTCCTTTTAGGAATCATATGTTTTCTAAAGTTTTTCTTTGTAAAAATATACAATTCATAAATCTAACTCTTCCTCCGAATATCACCTCTGTGATATGAAGCAACAAAACGCCTTCAATTACAACACCATCGATATAACAAGTTGTATGCAACCATATTAAAAATATAAACGAAAATATATGCAACATCTTTGAATGTAGAAGATTAAAAATGTGAATGATAACGTTATCAACATAGGGAATGTGACTGTACATGGCCGTTAAAATTATACTATACTCTGAACAATTGCTCAACTAGAGATCTGATGCAAATCGTTCACACCACTAACAAGAAACTTATACGCCAGCGTACTTGGAACTTTTACCTACTACTAGCCTAATCTTTCATGAAGTCTTTGTGCAATCGCAGCAACCAGTGCAGCACCTTTTCCACTTCCGTCCTCAGCGTGAATCATCTTGAACTGGATATCAATGGTAAGCCAATTGTTAATTTCACAAAAAGAATGAAACAATGAAAAATATTTTGTGAAAAACATACTTTATGATCAGGAGCTAATAGAGGAATATATTGTTTAATCCATGTCTCTAGTCTAGGATGGTGTTTGTAAAGAGATCCATCTACAGCAATTGTGACATTCTTCTTATCGATTCGTTTCAACAGAACTGCTAGGCCTAAAGAAATAAATTTGCTTAGCAATCTAATACCGTACGTCACATAATTCTATCACATTTTACAAATTGAACTTACAAATTGAAACGAGAAGAGCTGCACGATTGGACACTACTTCACAAACATACTGCACAATTTTGATATCTTCTTCGTCCGGAACAATACCAAACTTCATCAGAATTTCTTTCGTATTACTATCACCACCGTCCACGGAGTCTCTACAATATTTACATACAGTATTACAAGTTTTCAGGAGTTATTAAAGATACGGTATAAAAATCTCTTAATTCAAAACACCATACTGTTCAATATCAGATATTAAATCGGTGGTGAGATTGCCCGGAACTAAAAGAGATCCGGGCGTGTGATCCCCTATAAATAGAAGACCTTCCTTGGTTAACTTTGCGAGTACCACTCGCACAATCTCACCCAGGTATTTTCCACTGATGTACTTTTCGAACCTGATAATTTAAAGAAATCATAATATGATAAATTTACCAGAAAACGAACTTTCACATTTCATATATTTTTCAGTGAATTAAATTACTCACGTAAACGAATTTACAATAAGTGAATTCGCGTCGTTTTCACGATCGTAATCCGTTTTTATGAAGTCCAGGACACCGTTGTCTCCAAATGCGCCCCATTCAATATCGATAATAACCTTTAATAACAATAAGCAACTTGATATTCAAGAACAAATGCGCGTCCTGTACGAAAATAAAACGTTAGGAAAAAGTTACTTCGCGTTCTCCGTGTCTCTCAGTCTCCCAATGCTCGACTCTATCGGCTCGTTCAAGATAACAGGCATTGCTACCGGTACCTAATATAAGTCCGATGGCAGTATCGTGGTCCAACGTTGATCCTTGCACCAACGTTCCTGTCGTGTCATTTAGAATCGCCATGACTTTTACTTTAGTGTCTCCTCGACGATCCAAAGCTTCCCGAAGCAGCTTCACGGCATCCTCGTTGACAACATCGGGACAATTGAAGGTTTTAGTCCAAGTTACCAGTATTCCAATGTCCAACGAATGTTGAATCATCGGAAAGGAGAATGTAAATCCTAAAAACAAGAGAGTCGATATATATCCAAAGCAAAAATATATTCACGTTGTGTATTAATCATGTTATTTTAAGAATTATCGATCGCTTGTGAGATCAGGGTAATCCATGTTCAATCGACATACAAGTATCATCCACTTGAATTCGTAAAATCAATGTGAAACATAATACTCAAGAGTTGATAGCAAAAAGTGCTTGAAAACATGAAATTGACATTCTCAGATAGAATTTTTGCCCGGACTGGAGGCAATTGTAACTATCCTTGAATTGCAAGAAGTCATTTCTGAGAAACCGTGGGTCATAGGCTGGGCAATTAAAGTCTCACAAGTGATTCTTCCGACGTCTGAAGCGTGATGTACATCGATTCTAATTTACCAAGAGGAAGCTCTACATCCTGAAGACCGTGTGCAATGACGAAATCACTGACGCATTCCGCTAGGTAATCAAACAGACGAATCCCCGAGCCTACTCTCAAATCAGAGCTAATGTGGTATTTCTTCACCTTTTCGCGTATAGGTGTACCATGAGCCAACTCTAAAAGAAGTATTCGGAAATTCGTGCCTCCAAGGTCCAGCGCCAAATACAAACCCTCCTCTGAAAATATATCGCAGCGTCAGCATTGTGATCAAGTACGAGTACGAGTAAAAATTACAATTACAATTACAATTAAAATTACAATTTTTCCACTCGTATTGTTAAATACATTGTACTTGATATCTTGATAACCGTTGTACAATAGTAAGAACACTTCTGTCCATTACATATCGGAAAGTAGATAGGTAATACTTATCGTAATCGTTAAAAATTCTTATCAGAGATTGTTGTAATAACCTGTGCCATCGAGAAGCTCCGGTACGTAAGTATTCTCCATCTGCAGCGATGACGGCTGCTGATGAATTCCTTTATTCATTTCCGACACGAAAACATCTTGGATTTTCCTGACAGTAGAGGCCGAAAATTGCAAACGTGCCAATTTTTGTACGATCTGCAAACACAATTATTTAAGCCATCATTGTATATTATCTACGTGATAGTAATCGAAAGTGTTTGATCGGAACAAAACATCGTTGGAAAATTTTCCACAAGTCGTAAATCTTAATAATCCGTTGATAAAGATAATAAGGAAATTTCGTATTTACCTGTAATCCTTGTTACGTGATCTTTAGTAGAGACTTTCATTCGCATTAATCGCAGGTGACAAATCGCGATAAAAAAGATTTTAAAATTTACAACAACAAAGTATTTGAAGGAAGTTCTAATCGAACACTAGGATCTCCGATACACGTGATGAAACATTCTTTACATTCCAGGTTTATGTAAGAAATGTGATATCGTCACACAAATAAAAAACGCTATTAACTTCCACCTGTAGGTACGTATTATTGAGATTGCAAATTTTTAATATCACTTCTCGATCGTTTTCTAATTCGGAGTTCGATGTACGTACACGAGTGCAACATTGAAAACAGAATTCTCATGACCAGGATAATACTAATATTTCACTTCCTCGAAGGTAAACCGGTTGTATTCACGCAAACATCATCGTCAAGGTGAAACGTAAAAATTCTGAAAATCGATATTAAATCGACGAGTCAAAGACAAGAAAATAGCTTGATCAAATAATGTCATCTTGTTGCAGGAACTATGTACAAGACTTGTCATTAGGAGAGTTGCGTTTTATACTTGCACGTAAACAGGCAGTTCGTCGGTAGTGCATACAGCCAAAGGTATTAAACGACACCACAGTTTAAGTGGAGAAAAATTTATGGCTTGTTTCATCGATTGAATTGTCAACGTGATATCCAGCGATAGCGATGGATGGAATTATTGCCATGTCCTGTCTTCTCGACACTTATCTGTTTCGTATCGATTCGTAAAAAACGATCGAGAGAGGAACCCAAGTCACGGTGAAACAAGAGTAAACAGAAATTAGCCGTGACATTGCTCAGGCTACTTTAATGGAAGTTGTGTAACTTGGTTCTCTATACAAACATTTATCATACGTGCCCACGCATTGTCGACATTTGCATTGTCGATTGTTGCGAAATCCCATTCGATCAAAGAAACCGTGAAGGTGATATTTTTTTTTATCCGCAACCGATTATTACTGCGAATCAATAGAACTACTAATTATCTTCATTCTGTTCGTTCCTACAGCCAAGTAAAACAACGTATCTTCGCCGATAACTTATTTGAAAATCTTGAACTTTTTGTAATAAAAATCGCCTACGATAACCTTTCATGCCAGAGGGTATGATAAGCAGATGAATTACGACTAGTTTGCAACTAAACGCGTGATAACTGATCCATTATCTGATTATGTTGTTTATAAGGAAAAGTACATCTTCACAAGGAAAAGTGCCAATTTCTTATTTTTGAGCATCAAGATTGCGAGTTTCGCAGATGAAAAATCCCTTTCAATTCTTATTCGTAACACAGCACGCATGTTGTTACGAATCAAAATGATTTCTATACAAACGACAAGCGGTTACGTAACTAATTGTATACGTTCAAGACAGGTGCATACACCAAATGGAAATTGCTCTTGACGGGATTGCTACAGAGATCCGCGAGGACAAAGTGAAAGTGTGTGCGCGAGGATCGATGGATGTCAGTAAACTCTTAACGAGAATGTCGTAAGGTTAAGGACTCAACATTCGCAACATTTCATACATCGGCAATGATTCAGTCATTTCATAGTCGACATTGATCAGATCGATTAATGCAAGAAACGTATGTACTGGATGGAGAAAAGAATACCTACACATACCTATATATGCTGGATTGGAACGTGGGTGTTTCTTTAACAGTCCGACGACTTACTGCTCGACAAATCTTTGGAATAGTAACAAGACGTGGTCAAATAATATTGGTAACTATTATAGATAATTTCCACACGTTCGTCTTACATATTTCGTTGTGTATGTCTTATCGCACATACACGCGCGCCCGCGCATTCACGTAATAAAACCTCGAGTCTCTTCTGACCCGTGAAAATATAAGAAATGGAAGTTTACGACAAAAAGTTATCCAAATAACCGCATTATTTTCACTCACCTTTTGTCTCTTTACATCGTCCGAAAGTACCAATGGTGCTACTTGTATCGCCTCATTAAGAGCATGTTCCGTAGGGACGACCATGTCTGAGAGATCTTATTTATCTGAAAAGTAAGAAAACCATCAAACAATATTAGGGATGAGAGTCTTTCTTATGTGAACTTTTATTTCTCGAATATCTTAATGTTCAAACGTTATATCACTAAAATAAAACTGCCAATAGCAAATAATCTTCTAGCAGACATTCTGTCTTGATGATATAACATATTTAAAAAAAATAGAGATTCACATAAGGAGCATTCACGCCTTATTGTGTTTGTAGAATTCGTTTAGCGAAACATGAGGAACATGAAACACGGTGAAAGGTCTAATACACAACAAGTGATTTCAGGATGAATGGTAATAGTGTCATTGAGAAAAGAAAGACGCACACTTTGTGCTCACCTGACTGTCGTGAATATTATTATTATTAGATGAAAGGTTTTTGAATGAGAGAACTCAGAGAACGCTAGAGAACTTGAATGAATTTTTCGCGATGGTTGATAAAACGTACGCCGCAAGACGGATTGTCGCGTGGTTCTCTACGAGCACGAGAGACGTTCTGAAGTCAAGTTAAAAAGATCATCCCGTTTACTGTTACACGCTTATTTATTTTCCCTCCCTCTACTCTCTCCCTCGACATTCGGCGAGATAATAGCGCGTTACTATTAAACGAAAAGTTGAAAGTCCACGATATTTTATAACATTTGATAACATCGTAATCGAGTCGCATGGATTATAACACCGTCCTGTCTTCTATTAATTATGACGCTGATAATGATTATTTCCACATCGTTCGATCACGTTGCTTAAATTAATTAATAACAGGTATAACGATAACAAATCATTAATAACCATATCTTACAAGCTAAATAAGTGGGTCATAACACAAATTTTTTGAATATGAAAATCAGAGTCGATCGATTTGGCTAAAGACTTGAGAAATTTTAACAAGCAAACGTATATAGCGCATCTGTGCAGCGATGTCGGCCCCAATAAAAGAGAGAAGAGAAGCGTGTCTAAAATTTATAGAAAAACACGATCGTTACAAGGCAGACAGCCGTTGCTCTGCAGGTCATCAACTATCGTAACATTATCTCGTTAATTGATAGAGAGGAAATATACGAATACTTAATGTAACTTGTACAGACATCTTTTTCCGACAGTTTCACAATAAATATGTCACGTCAGCTCAAATATTTTGATCTTACAGGCAAATATCGACCGAATGAAAAACCTCAAAGATAACGAGGAGCCAATCGTGTGAACCTGCAAATGTGTTGCAACAGTGACAGACAAGTAACACTGGATACAGATTTCGAGGGAAGTTCATGAAGGAGAAAAAGTTTCTTACATTCACCGTTCACTGATCACACTCTATCGAAACTGCGACATCCTTCAGATTCGGCGAGATACAACGTACATAATCACACGTCGCGACTTACGAGCATGATCCTTCTCCCGAACTTCTTATGTGTTGGGTGTTTTTGGAGCTGCATATCGTCGGTAACAATGAATACACGCGTATGTAGAATTGGAGTACACGCGTCGCGCCTGCGCGTATGTATTTCAAGTACAGTCTTGTGCATAAACTGATTATTTGAATCGATTGAGTAGTTCATTGAACTTAAAAGGATAATTTAATTCGAAAATGTTATCCGCCTTCTATTGTATTGTCGAGTTGTCTGAAGAAAATCAAGAAGATCTACTTTTCAGCGAATAAAGCGCACTGAAAGAGAAGATAAATTTCAGTTTTGGCGTCGACATTAAGGACATAAAAGTTGAAGAACCCGTTTGACAAGCAAGATCTGCCGAACTACGCGTCTCGTTCTTCGCATACCACTGACATATATTAGTTTTATTATCTTTTTACCTGTTTCTTAGTTACGTTCCCTCCGTGACGTTTTCCCGACGTTGATACTGTTAAGTATAATTATTCGCGAATAGATACGTGCATGAATATAATATATACGTACGAATATACGTAGAAAATTATAACGAAGAAAAAGCGCCTAATAATAGTTTACAAGTAGATATACATAAAATAGATATACATGAACAAGTAACGAAACGTACGTAGTACTTGTAGAGTACGAACAAATTACTATGTACCCGTTGTAAATTGCACCTAATCGTTAGGATCCGCTGTAACCGTATAAAAGCAAACTCAATTATTGCGCTTTTGATTTCGAGCGTCAACGGTCTTTCTCTAACGAATCAGTTGATTCGATCAGCGATCATTTATGTTGGGTCAATTCGTGATAGATTTTTCACGGCCGATTACCAGAGGGAAAAGACACCGCGAAATGTCACCAGAATATTCTTCGAGACAGCAAAGTCACTTCTGAACGAAGCTCCATTAAAATCAATTGGAAGGTGCAAAGCATCAACCAGGATAATTTAACCACTTGACCTGACGTGATGATTCTAATCCATAGTGCAATACGCACACTCGTCACGGGGACCGTGTGTCAACCGTCACATTTCATCTTCCACGGTCCCATAAAGAGACACGTACTCTGTCGCGATCATCCTCGTTTTTTTACCTATCGTTAGATTAATAATCTGGAAAGCATTCTGCTTTTTTTCCATTTATCGTCACCACTATCGGTCTATCGGATTAACGAACATGACGTAAGCAGAATGTCACGAGAGTTCGACGTACGAACTGCGCGCAAAAAACGTTCGCGTTTATACTCGCGATCAACTTGGTTGCAAAAATTAAGACTCACGGACAACATTCGACCAAACACACGTTCACGTCGACGATAACGCGGACTAGTCTTTCGTTAAGAGCGTATTCACGGTTATGTATGATCTTTACCGCTTGAATTATAGAGCTTCCGTGAATTACGGGACCATTATCACCAAGGTCTCGAATAAATCTTAATCGAATAGAATTCCCTTGATAATGCGGCGGCTCATTTTACGTTTCAGTACGCTAGATGTGTTCTTTCCTTTCTCTCCTTCGAGAATTTAAATAGCATATCTCAAGTGGCGAAATTGTTTGTTAGCGGTTTGTTAAAGAAAAAAAAAAATCGTTTTCGTATCTATTTTGATATTATTAATGATGTTGTATCGATATAAGACAAAACTTGTCCTTGTCCCAATATCGTTGTCTATGATTAAAGTGTAATTACACAACAAATTTGCGATAATATCATAAGGTTCGCGCGATCAGCGCGTTATTTTTAGATACATTATGGATATTCATGAAATCATTGGATCCGAAACACATTTGTAGACACGTGTTGCTTAAAATGGCTGTCAAACCTTTCGTGTTGATTCGACAGGTTTATGCAAGGGAAATGAGACCTATTCAGACATACATATATGTAGGTATAATACATATAGGGCGAAAGATAAAATACGTGATTTTAATTTCAAAGGCGTCGAAGATCATGCGATAAACTCACGTGTTCTTTGACACATTATATTAAAATTAATTTCCTCGATAATCATTAGACCAAGTAGACAAAATGTTGTGTCACGAATGACCAGTGTTTGACAAATGTGCGGTAATACCAGCGGCGGTAATAGCGAATCGTCAATAGCAAAGTCTAATAAAGTGCAAAAGAAAATGTGGCGTGAATATGTACGAGATGTGACGATGATAACGTTTGAATTTTGAAGAGTTCGACGAACGTGAAGTTGAACCCTATACTGGAGTAAAATCATAGGAATACGTTAAAGTACAATGACAACACATGCAGTGTAACATTTCAAGGACCACCACGTGGTCTCGTCAACAAAATAAACACGGGAATACATATCTTTACATTGAATTTCTTGTGTCACGACAATGACATCAACGTTCGATAAACCGGTTAGAGGAATAATAAATCAGCGTCAGCCGAACACGAAATCAATACACGATATTACGGTGACATCGATGCTGTGTGAACAAATCAAACATACTCCCGTTGTCAAGGATCAACGAGCCTGATGGCGCCAACTAGCGCGTGCGCCCGGTTCTAGGAAAATGAGAAACACAAGCTCACCCTAACACTTTCTACGTATGACTGCCGGACTCGCGCGATCGCCTCAACTTCTTGATCCTTTTCTATCCTTTGCTGGGTCCAGTTACCGGTCAGTGACTGTAAAGTTTCTCGGGACACGACAGAGCGCACTCACACGTACAAGCACGTGGGTGGGATACCGTGAAATGTACTCCGTCTCGGAGCAGCAACTAGTCGAGCCTCCAGATCGTCGCTTTCCCCACTGCTCCAACTTCAAAACCATATCGGTGCGTATTACGTGCGCGCGCCTTCGCGCTCATACACGCGCTTACACGTTTCACGCACGCGAGCCATTACATCGAGCCTTACGTTTGTATACTTTCGCGCACAGACAGTCATAATAGTCTCTTTAATATATCGCGTGAATGCGCATACACGCGCGTTCTAGGATATCGCGTGCACTGATACCACGTGATATTGTACTCGCGATCCAAAATCGCATGAAACGCAAGGATTTCTCAGGCTACCGTATTTTTCCTATTCTTTTTTCCCACATATATCCACAAGTCTTCATTTTCTTCGGTAGTTCCGTAATAGACTCAAACTCAGTAAAGGATGAAAGAAGTCGGGGCTACATAAAATATGTAAATAAAATATGTAAATAATTACTGTACAATAAGAATTTATTTGAAATAAATATAATAAAGATAAAGAGATAGGGAAATTTAAAACGACACGGTCCCAATACTCTTACAGCATTACAGGTTCGCATTATGTCAGTTGAATGAAGTTTGAATATAGCTGCAATAAAATAACATCCGTCTCCTAAACTACATCGGCTGAATGGAGTTTGATTAAATTGGTCAGCGTGTTTAAATTTAGATCGTTACAATTGCCTGACCCTCGTGGTTTCATAATGTATAGCACCATTCTATAGACAAGCAACTTGCACTTCGAAATGATAATTAATAAAAGCACAATAGAGATGTCAAGATTCCGGACGTGTGTTCATACTTGACTTTGAAAACCTGATGTGTAAAGAAATATTGAACTTTATAATATTAAATAATGAAGTAGGTAAAAATGCACGCAACATTTTTAATGTGAGCTTAACGATTGACGTCAAGCGTAATTAATTTAGATAAAAAAAGATGTATAAATTTCTATTTTCATTTATTCGTTTGCGATAAAATTGAAACACGTGCGATATTTTGCTTTGTACTTTCAACTAGCGTTATATTGATAAAAACCACAAGATAAAATATAAAAGTGATGAATATAATAAATTCATACTATTCGGGTAACAGATCATCCCCGAGTTCTTCATCGCCGAAATCATCGTCTCTCTTTCCGGCAGACGTCATAGGACGAATAGGTAATGGGCCAATGGGATCAACATAAGGAGTGCCTACAGAAAATATTTTACATGCACTTATACTTTAACGTCACTTTATGCAATGTTTCATTAAAAATTGTTTAAAAATTCGATAATAAATTGTAGGATGACTCCCGTCTGGGATTTATTACTATATACAAGGATCGAGAATAGGATGTTCAAAATAGCTAGACTCATCTATCATCTATTCAATCCATTAGGGTAGTTCAACTATCGGTAGATCATTCTTGTTAATGTTCATTTCAGATAAAGCTAAGTAAGCTCTAGTAAATGCTCATTTATCTATTACTTTGCAATGAAATTTACTATTTTTCTACAATGATTTCGATGAAGAATACATACCTGTTTGATCACTAACATCACTTGTCACTTCCGTAATATTTTCAGTTGTGGAAATTCGATTAGGTCGCGTAGTACCAGCACTACTTAAACCTTGATTTTCTCTTCTACTGAATGTGGGACTTGATCTGTGATCTGATAATACGCTGATTCCAGAACCAGTCCGTGATGATGTCCCACTGTTACTCCTTCTTGAACCTATAAATAAATATTAAATACTGTACAATATTATGTTTCGTACAGTTAAAGATATACATCATGTATACCTGGTCTTGCTGATCCTTGTCTGTCCTTCAATTCTTTTGCTTTCTCTGCGCGTTTTAATTCTGTTGCATATAATTGTGCCTCTTTTAAACCTAGATCACTACATAACCGGACCAAGAATTTTAAGCACTCAATATTATCAGGAAATCTGTTATGAATATCTTGATATTCCAAAACAGCCTTATGAAATTGACCAATTCGTCTTAAACATGCAGCGACAAGTAATCGCCATCTTGGTTCATCAGGAGCAAGTTCTACTGCTTTCTTAAAATAAACTAACGCTTTTTCGGCAAGTTGCATTGATACGAAATATGATCCGAGCCAATCTATTACCTCAAAATTGGCGGGGAAGAATCTATAAGACTGTAGAGGTACAAACTTCAACAATATAATAAAAAAATAAAGTAAAATGAAATATTTATATACTTAAGGAGTTTACATCACTATAAAATTGATATGCTTGTTGTTTATCTCCAGCAATATCATAGATTTCGCCTAATTTTTGCAAAACTCCAGGATCGCATGGTATTATACCAAGTAATTGATTGTACCTAATACAAATTCAGATATTACTCACTCAAATTAAAATGAAATTTAAGATATACATATGTAAAATCATAATACCATTCTATTGCTTGGTCTGCGTCGTTCATAAGTTGATATAACTGACCAATT